CTGCAAATAGGGCATCAGGATTCCTTTTAAAGGTAATCATCTGCCTGTGTCTCTGCCAGCAAAATTATTGATGCAATGAATAAAAGCACCGTGGCATAAATAACACATTTGTATATCCTACATTTTAGATTCTTTTCCCTTTCAGGGGTATGTTTTTTCAACAGAAGTGTTTATGCAGAGAGCTCACATTTCAGGAGTAGGTATAGCTTATTGGTTTATTTTCTTTTACTTCTTATTGTCACTTGTTCATGCTGATAAATCCCTGTTTTATATAGCATGAGAACAAGAACATGACTTGGAAACTTGTGACTGCCCAGCACTATGGCAGGAGAAAATGAAAATATTTTCTAGCTGTGGTTTTGAAGGGAATAATAAAACCAACAGAAGGAACAGGATTGCTGTTTCACGGAAAATTTCTGATTTTTGTTTTGGTCTAGATCTGCGTAAAGTTGCAATTTCAAATTTTCCTATTAACTGAGAACATGTAGAATGCTGATTCAAATCCACCAAAACATGTAAGGAAGCAGCCCCTGCTGCTTCATTGGCATTCTTTTCAGCTTTCCTGCTGCTGTTGGCACAGGAGCTGACAGGAATACCAATGTCACTGAGCAGGCAGGTTGTTCCCAAAATCTATAATTCTGGGCAGTTTATCACAAAATGACCACATTCTAATCCACACTCTTTCATTTGAAGCTGCAATCTTGAAAGTCTGTGCACTTTTTTCCTCTCTTCCTTTTTTTGGCAGAAGGGAACTGTACTTTGAGAAACACCAGCATTCAGATGGATTGACTGGATAGAACATATTGTGCTGCTCCATGATCACAGAGCTCAAACTTCTGCCGTTAACAAGGGTTAATGCCCTTCAGGGTTTCAACAAGGTTGTTTAGAACTCTTCCTGACATCAACAGATTTTATCGGTGTCACTGATGGAGTGAATTGCCTCTGCTTAAGGCTCCCCTGGTTTCTGAACTCCAAGTCATTATGATGCAAAATATACAAGCACTGCTCAGGATTTGGAGAGTTTTGTATCAGAACATGCAAATTTTCGTTTATTTTTATCCCTTGCAGTGAACCCTTTGTCTCCAGTGAGAGAAAGAGCAAAGGTGGTGGCTGAGTGCCACCTGAAAACAGCCAACAGCCTGTTAATGTCATTTGCTCATATCCATGCCCCAGCTCTGCCCTAGTCTACAGAGGCCACCTCATCTGGCCATATTTTAAATATTCATCTTCTCTAGTGTTCTGTGGGTTGTGGTTGCTCTGTGCTCCTTACTGGCAGGTACCTGTTTGCTGAATTAGATTTCAGAGAAAAACTGCAAGACCTGCAGCAAAAAATAGCCTAGTCATTTTTGCAATCAGTCTCCCCACCTCTTAACAGAAATAAATTTAGTGCTGCTTCAGTGTAGGGAGAATCTTTTTTAAGAAGAAGCCTGCTACCAAACTCAGATTAAAGTTCACATTTTGACTGTAGGTCCTTCCTTCTAGTTGAGAAATAGATTATTAAAGTACTTTTAATTATAAAAATTACTTAGGTTTCTTACACTACAAAAAAATTATATTTTAGAGGGTTGGAGTATACACTCAGCAGGAGAGTTCGCATGGATTAATCTGCCCACTGGAATGCCAGTCAGCCAATTTGATTCTTTCAGTGCCTTATCAAGTTCTGATGTGCTTAGTACTGAGTTTGACTTATCATCAAAGTTCTGTAAGTCAAGTGGGATTGATACTCTTATAACAGCTCCACTTGTTTTTCTTTTTCCTTTCTTTAATTAAGTAAGAGAGTTAGTGAAATTGCATTTTCTATCTTTGCTGTGCAGGCCCACAGAGTAGGTATAAAGCTGTCTTTGATGTGCTATGAGCTCATGATTTTAATCTAGCCAGATGAATTGCACACCTATATATTTTATGACAGTCACAGTAACCAGCCTCCAGGAGCTGCTTGGGAAGCATAAATTAGCCATATGCCAGGGTGTTTCATTAACAAACATCTTAATATGAGCATTGATCTCGCTGAATGCGGCACCTCAGCTGTAATAACAACGTTCAAGTTGCTCTGTTATGCTTAGATGTGCATTTTCCTTTTCAGCAGATAGTAGAGTTATTGAGCCTTCAGCAAATAAACCATGTAAGAAGCAGCTAAGTATGTTAAGAGCCAGCTCCTGGTCTGCTGTAAATTAGTATGGATTTGCTGACTTCAGAGGGGAGGTTCCTGCCATCCCTGTCCCTATGAAAATCCAGGCAGTGGCAAGCAAAGAGCCCCATCAGCTCACATCACACTGTGAGGCCCCGTGCTCTGCTCAGCGTGGTAGCTGCAGTTGAAAAGGAAATATCTGTGTAGACAGGACTTGAAAGAGCTGCAGAGCAGTCTGATAGTGCTCAGATAATGCTCTATGAGTTGGGAGCACTATCAGAGGCCATTCAGAGCAGCAGCATATTTGTAATTTGTGTGCGTCACGCTTGGCTACGGTGGGACCCGAGACAAAATGCCTCTGTTAGCTGAATGCTAACCTGCTCTGATCCTATGCCATTGACACTGGAGCAGACATAGATACACACATTTTATCCTTAAATATAAGACTGAGATTTTTAATAATTAAATCTATAACATTTAAAAATAAGTGGGATACTCAAAAGCTCAGAGTCCACTTGTTTAAATCAAAGATGCAGAAGTTTATAGTATGGAAATCTTATGTGCAATTTTCAAAAGGGTGATTTCGTGACTTGAAGTTAGATAAACTGAAATAAGGAACATGCTATAATTTTAAAAAGTAAGAGCTAATGGCCTATTAAGGGTCAGGGAGCAAGAAGAAATTCCTTCACTACTACCGTTTCACAGGTCGCTTGGAGGTAGATGATGAGCTTCCATCAAGCAAATCATCATCCTTCTTTCTTTATGCCCTCTATAGACCTTGACAGTGGATCACAGGACTTAGCAGGGACATTTATAGCTCTTCAAGACAGATGGAAGCAAAGCTGTGGATTTGGTAGCAAGTATTGTAGCCAACAGAGGAGAATCCATCACTTGGATAAGTGAGCAGCCTATTCTTACTTCCCCCTCTCCTCAGTAAGGGCTTGACAGACAAGAATTCATGCTATGTGGTACCCAAACTATAAAAAGTTTACTGGAACTATGGGTGAGTAATGGAGCTTTGGTTTGCACTGTTTCCTGCAGTGTCCAGTGCTCTGCATGTTACAGTTCTGTTCCCCTGAGAGCAGGCTTTGCCAAGATAGACCAGTTAGTTGGCATATATTAGCAAATCCACCCTTTCCTCTATAATTAAGAAGACAATTAGGCATAGATTTATGTCTGAAAAATAATATAGTGTGTTAAACACAATGCTGAAATATTACAGCTTGGCTTTAAGAAAAGAACATTAAAATATTTCCTATGTGAGCATGCACACGCTCACCTGAATTTATTTTCGATGTTCCTCACAAAGATAGATCTCTTGCCACGTTCAGTGCTCGTTAACAGTTACAGTTTTCTAAAAAATCAATACTTATTCCGGAGAAAGCAGCTGGATTGGGAATGGGATCATTTCATTTCTTGAAATCAGAATATGAAATCAGTTAGTTGCAAAACAATACTTACCACTTAATTCAATCTCTATTTCTTCTTTCTGCTCTTCTAATTTTTTAGCTCTAAATTTTCATGCAGATAACTTTTGTTTGGTTCCTTACTGGGATCTGTTCTCCAGTTAATGTGTTGTGTCATGAACTTAAGGATTTACGAAATCAACTTATTTTCATTATTTTTCAAATAGTGGGAAAAAAGCCTAAGTAACATTCAGCCTGAAAATTTCCTTTAAACTTTACCTTGTTTATTCTGATATGTTTCCAAACATCACTACTCAGTTGCAAATCAAGGTATTCCCAACGTTACATACAAAGCTACTAACAGTTTAGAGACATTTTTAAATCCTTATAATTCCATCACTTACAGAGAATAATTTTACAGGGATAACAGTGTTTCCATGACTTCTGAACCTGATACAATGGAATATATCCTAGAGTTGTTAATCCACTTTTGCAGATGAATAGAAATTATTAAAATATTTTTAAACATCTTTTACACCCCATGATGATTCATGCTCGTCATATTATCTGGGTAGTTGGCTGGAAGCAAATAGTCAATTTTGTATTAATTTGTGAACAGGCAGCGTTAGCAATTGCAAATGATGCTAATGATGCAAATGTAAAAAATGCTTGTTATAAAATTAAAATCTCTGACAGTGTACCAATATTGGATTTTGAAATATTCCTAATGCAGCTTCATTGGTGTCTTGAAAATGATCTAGCAAAGATTATTGCCCTTTCAACTGTAATAACAGACTAATCATTTGAAATATTTGCTGTTTCCCTCTATAATTTCTTCTATGCTATGGGAGACCTATTGGTGAATTTAAAAGGGAAAAACCAATCTTGTTGGGTTTTCTGTCACTCTAATCTAATAAACATGAGCAACTGGTTTTATTTTTCTCTAGATGTTATTATGCCACTTTACAAAAGTCACACAAAAACATTTTATAGATACAAAAACGTTTGGAGAATTCTGTTCTTTCATGTTATGCTGGAATTGTTGTTATGTTTTTTATGTTTTGTATCTGAAAGGGCAGGATGAGCAGTTGAGAAGATTCAAATAATGGATTTGTGTTTCATTAGTAGTTTATCCTTATAGACTAAGTTTCTTCAGGCTGAATTTTATACTGAAAACAAGGTGCAAGTCGACAAAAACTTGGTTAACACTGCTTTGAAAAAAGTTTGGTTGATTCATTCATCCCTTTGCTCATTCAATGACTGAAAAAACTATTTCCCTTAAAATGATGGGAATGTGATAATCTAATGAGGAGAGTAATGTGCTTCCATTTTGGTTTCTCATTGCAAAAGTAGAAATAGAAGGAAGGGAGGGAAAAAATAAATTTATGCTTCATTTTGGTTTCTGAGCACTGGGGGAAAATCCATTTAAAATTTTAATTATCTCTTTTTTCCCCCCTTCCTTTCAGCCTTTGAAGGAAATACTTTTCCAGCCAGCAGGTAAGCAATAAATATTCTTTTAGAATTGAGGAGAAAATATAATGGGTCTGTAACAGCAGCTGTCTCCATCTGTTGCATTTTCCTCATTTTACCTCATAATTTTCCTTTAGTATGGAGTTGCTGTACTTTTGCTTTCTGATCACATACCTTCATTCTGGATAGCATCTTGGATAGGAGACAGATACAGCTTGTGCTGGAGATAAAATCCTGTCTATGCTTCCTTTTTGAACCCTGAGAGCAATTTCTGGAAATTTATTAGTTTCTTTAATACCAGTTTTTAATCAGTCAAACTTGCAAACAGACTAAGGAGAAAGAAAAAGAAAAAAAAGGATACAGTGTAGTAATACAAAATGTTATGAAGACAACCAAATCAAGAGAATATTGAGACTTACCAAACTAATAAAGTGATTTTAACTGATCTTTGTAGTTCATTTTCTATAGAGATTCTAAACAGCAATAAGAAGTTCCTATGGCCTATCAGCAATACCCTGTGTTGTTTTAAGAGTTCTCCAAGGTTCAAGAAAACAGCAAAGCCAGGAAAGATCATGAGGTTAAACTGCAAGTTTTCCTTTTGTTCTAAAAGTTAACAAGTGAATGCTTCTCATAAATTTCTGTGTTAGTTTGGTAAACAATATCGAATTAATAACCATTATTTTCCTGCAAGTCTTTAAAGTATAACAAGAGAAATATAGATAATTTTAAAACTATTTTCTTATAGCAATGAATGGTATGAGGTCTGTCACGTGAGGAGTGCTGGCAGACTCGGTGTATCAAATCTAACCTATCAGTGAGTTGTTTGCTGGGAATTTGTTATAAGGAAAAGGGAATACAAGGCAAACCAACCAGTAGTATTTTCTAGGAGAGTCATGATTTCTAGGATTCACAGGAGAATTGGGATCTTAAATTCTTACCTGGGGGAAGTTGCCACTTCTTTGTGTGTTGTGATTTACCTTGACATTTTCTCACATCTGTACTTGTTACTGGTCCTAAAATCCCCAAATGGCAAACAATATTTTTAAGCCATTTTTCTGTTAGAAAGATCAAAGAGGAAACCTTCCTGCATCACACAGATTAGGGATAGGAGTGCTAAATAATTCTACAGCCCTTCAAAGTTCAGTCTTTGAGCTTTCCTTAGCAATAAAAGGAACTTTGCTGGTATTCTCAGTAAAGCTGCCCAAAAATTATATCGATGCAGATATAAGTAATTACTATTAATGCTTTAATCCTCTCTCAGAACTCAACTTTCATAATCTGCAGGTGGAATAGCACCATAGGAAAAAAAAATGCAGATTAGAGTTATGGTTGGAAATTCAAGCTTTGAAATAAGGAGGTTGTTGGCAGATACACTGAGCTTCAAAGGTAATAATGTACTCAGTGCTGGGAAGATGGCAGCTGAGATTTCAATGAAAGATGAGTAGAAAATGATATCAAATAATATGATCTCTATATACTTTTACAACACAAGCACAAATAAAAGATTATTCTCTGATATTGCAGCGTGAAGTATAAAAGGTAAAGCTGAATACAATATTCTGGCAAGTAAACAGGCAGAGGAGACAATCTTACCTGAAACCAGTGTATCAGAAGGCTCAGGTGGTGTTTCAACCCTGTAGTGTTTGGAGAGATCAAGATTCTCCAGCCACATTCCTGTCCTTTCCTACACTGCAAAATCTGACAGAAAAAGAGCTACAGCATGTAACATCTAAAAGTATTTAAATATATTATTGCCTTAGAGGTACTTCTGAGTTAATAATTGAGAATGACAGAAACACTCGAAGGAGAAAGGTTCAGAAAGATACCTTCTGTTCGACTCTTAAAATTAGTAATATTGCTTCACACTAGAGTTTGGGGACTACAAGTTTCACTCTAAGTGATGCTGTGGGTGTGCTCTGTAGTTCTCTGGGAACTCAAGGAGTAGTAAACAAAACTCTTGTTCACCAATCTGCAGATAGGGTTGGCAAGTGACTGGTGAGGTCTGCTTGCTGACACCTCATCAGCGTAATTACAAGAGGTCAGAGCAGGGACAGCATAAACTGATAATTATTTACATACAACGTGGCAGGGTAATTGCTTGGGTAACTGTCTGTCAAGGGAAGTGTTGAAAGTACTTGAATGGCAGGGAATATTGTCATGGATATATTTCTCCTCTTAAGGATCTGAATCAAAGCACATTAAAGTCAGGGACTGATGCATTTCACTAGGTTTGGTACCAAGATCTAAAAAGTGCAGGGTGCCTGGATTTATCTTTGTTTTTTTGGTGGGAGTGCAGAGCACACTCTAAAAAGTTCATCTCTGATATGGCCCTCACGAGAGGGGTCTTGTGTTTGCTCTGCAATTCCCTTGTTCCTTCAAACTGCTCTGCACATTTCCCATGCATTATATCCATTGATTTGTTTATTACTTCACAAATGGAGCCTTGTCTTCTCTACAAGGGTTGCCATTTGCAGAGAATCTTGCTTCTCACTGTATTTCTCTTCTATTTCTTTAAGCACCACACACTTACCTGCTGTGTTGGAGCCAGACCGCCGCCTCACATCACAAAGGTAAATTAATGCGTTGAAAATGCGGAATGTCTCTTCCTTACAGTCTTAAAATCTTAATTTAAATTAATATTTCTAAGTTAAATGTAAGGTAACATAAAAAGCTGTGACATCTATCATTTAGAAGACAGGAATGAAAAACATGACCCATAACAGAGGTTCCTCCTGCAAGCAAACTGCAAGGAAAAATCGTGTCAGTTTGATGTACTAACATGTGAGCATTCCTATGTAATCACACTTTTAGTTGTTCCTGAGTTGTAGCATTGAGATCCAAAAGACTGGGATGCAGGTAGGTTTAGCTGTTTTGCAGGATATTTGGAAACACCTTATTCTCATGCTCTTAAATGAATAAAGTATTTAATGAAAGAATGAGTCTTACTTGGGGAAAAAAAATTAAAATATTTACTGAAATAGAGTTTATTACTGAAAAAGCATTTTTCTCTTGATAAATACATTGCTGTCTTCTTACCAGAGTACAAGAAAGCACTCAGGGCATTGCTCTGACCTATCAGTGACTTCATTGAAATGGACACTGAAAACACTCCTGGTTCAGCTCCTGTAAATAATGTTTTTAGTAAGAGTAGGGAGACAGGTAAAACTGGAAGGATCACAAGAAACGCTATTTATTAGCATTCATGTTACAAAAGGTTGTCTGTGTGCATGACATATTAGACAACAGTGTTTTCTTTCCTTGGAACATCAAAATCCACATGCAAATGTAAAAGAGGAAAGGATTCTAATTCTCTTTATCTGCCTCTATTGACAAAGCTTAGTTCTTGATGATCTGAGCAGTTTGAGAGTTAAGAATTGATCTCCAAAATTAGTAAATTCAAGGAGATTCAGATTTGCCAGCTGGTACATTCTGAAAAATCTGGTCATACAGTAGCATGGTGCAAATCCTCAAACCATCTCAGTAGAAAGCTGTGACAGATACTACCTCTTCCTTCACTCTAAGACCAGACATCTCATGGCAAGCACTGTGTGAAGCAGAGAACTTTGCCTGGGTTAGTCTGATTTGTGTTTACCCCTAATGGCAGCTGCTGAAGTGCCTTGGCTAAATAAACCCTTGGTGTAAGTTGGAATGGATTCAGATCTGATCCTCTGCTCTTTTGGATGTACTTGTCATGTGTTTGCTGTTTTAATTATTCAGTCCTTGTAGAGAATTTTTTTAATGAACAGAATTTTTACAGATCAGGTAATTTTTTTTTCTTTCTTCTTCTTCCTGGCATGAAATATTCTTAAATTAGACCCATTAAAAATCTATTGTATTGCTGAGAGTGCACATGCTAGAATTCTTTTTCCCTACTAATGTGAAGTGGGAAATATCCTAAACTATCCCCCAACTTACAAAGCAAAATACAACAGTGTACAAAATTATAATAAAAGGAATTTGGCTACAGAAGGCTGTAATAAAAGGATGATAAGGGAAATCAAGCTGCATATCACCATGACAAGTAATTCCTAACTGAATTCACTGATCCAAACTCTGCTGTCCTTTGGAAGACAAACAAGGCATTGAAGCTGCCCTGAAGGCTCTGTGATGACAATGCACTGGTGGTAGAATTTCACTCAGGAGTAGGGACCTTCTGAAGTGTGAGACTTACATGAATCAAAGCCATGCTTGTGCTGGAAATTCTGGCATCTGCAAGTGTTTCATACCTAATTCCACATATTATATCCTGCTGTTAAAAACGAAAACTGTTTATTGGCAGCCAGTACTGTCTTCCCTTCATCTGTTCTTTAAAACACTTTTATTACATCTCAAAGGTAAGAGGACTTTGACATACTTGCCAGTTTCCCAGTGTACAGTGAGTTGTGTGCATTGAAAAATGCAAGATTATCATTAGTGCTATGACTCATGGAGTGAAAATGCATTCTAAGTGAAAAACACTGATAAAACCATGCTGATAATTTTATTTTTTTAAATTTTTTTCTATGAGGCAGCAGGTAAGAAGAAGTTTTGTGAAATGTATGTGAATCATCAACTAGCACAGGAACAATTGGGTCTTACAGGATTATTTCTGTCATAATGCCCATTTTCTCTCTGTTGTTTATCAATCTGCATCTCTGAAGGAAAGTAATAGTGAGAAGTGTTACAGAAATCAGTTAACTAGAAATTTTTTTAATGTCAGCTTAAACCAAGGGAGATCATTAGGTGGATGTAGGAAATAAGTTCCAGGCTGACTCTCCCTGTCTAAGACATCCTACTGAAGTACTGTTTCATATTGGAGTGATGAGAGAAAGGATTGCTTTCACCAAGTGTATTTTAAAGCATACAGTTATTTTACAAAAGCTTTGGTATTACCTGCTTCCTTTTCTCTTTGCAAACACAAAGGGAAAATTGTCCTGCTGCATCACAGTAATTCTTGTCACTGAATTATTGCAGTGGTAGTGTAGCAGTACTCACTGTTTGAGCAATTTCTGACCGATTTATCAATATCAGAGTCTTAATAGCTTGATTAAAACTAGAGGCATATGTCAAGTGGGACCCTAATTTTCTTCCTTGATGATAATAGACATTTGCCAAAATGGCTCAATATCAGATTTTTTTTTTTTTATTGGCAAGTTGAAAACTTGTCACAACGAGGCACGAAGCCAGAGACTCCAAATCAGCTGGCACAGTGACAAAACCCAGAATTATATTTCGAGCAAAGAAGTAAAGCTTCTTTTGACTGAAAGATCAAAATTGTTTCTGCCATAAAAAATACCTGTTGCCAAGGAGATGTAAATCCTGATCTCTGCTCTTACTGCCTCCAAGGGCAGTCATATCTAAGACTGAAGGAAATTGGTTTATGGATGTAGATAATACAGTAATGCAGATACACACACAACAGGCCCCACCAAAGCATCTCTGGGCTCTCCATTCTCCTATTCCCAACTTCCAAGGCATAATGGTTTTATCTGGCACTTGACTTTACATTTTGGAGACTAATGAAGATGCAATGTTCTGGCTTGCCAGTCATTTCTTGGTCTCGGTTCAAACCTGAGAGGACAGGGAGGGTGGCAGGAAGGAAATGATCATCCAGTTTCTTGAAACTGCTGCCTTCTAACAGGAAAGCAGACACGGCCTTTGCCTCTCAAAGGCACAGCACAGGCAAGCTGAGCGCATATTGCCCTCTAAAAACAGATATGTGCCTTCGTATTATTTTATGCAGGCAACAATAATGTCAACATAACATAAAGCAAAATAATATTGCTGAAAACAGCACACTCATTTCTAAAGACAAGACACCTTCAGGGTCCAAATATCAAAATTCAAGGGGGAAAAGATGAGAACTTGAATACTGGTGGAGATTTTGAATTTGGTTTCAACAGCAAGTGCAATAAAAACATCCAAGAAAAAATTTTTGTCTTGAAATATGCAGTTAATCCAGTTCCTCACCTCTGTTTCCCAGTCCCAGCCTTTCCCAATTAGATTTCTATTTCAGTACTGTTTCTATAGCAAGGAACTTGCATAAAAGAGAAGGAGTGGGAGATTTTCAAAGTAGCCATGCTAATTAGGTGTCCAGCTCTCATTGATTTTGAATAGGAGCTGGGTCCTTCAGAACTCTTTATGCCTTTGAAAATCTCTCCTGTAATCTCTCCCCTCTCTCTTTGTGCAGCCTCTGGCGTTCAAAGGCTTCCAGCCCAAAGAGGAGACAGCACATGATGCCTGGTCTCCATTACCCTTCCTGTCAGAACTAATATTTACAACTGGAAGCTTTCAAAGGGATAGCCTATGTGTTGTTGACAGAAAGGAACTTTAGGGCTATTAATATTTTACTCATTAACTCCTTACCTGCCACAATGCCTGCTTTTGTATGGCTTTAAAGGTTTCAACCCGTCTGTGTGGATTCAATAGATTTGTCCTTGAAGGACTGTAGCACCACTTAATTCTCAGTGATAAATCATCTTCAGACACATAACACCAAGTCAGAATCACAGATCTAAATTATTTCACTCTTTTCTAAAACTGTGACTCAATTATAAGGCCAGACAAGCTGGGAATTAGTTATTCCATGCACCATGCTCAAATGTTCAAGATTAAATGTCATATATTTAAATACACGGGTATGTATTGCGTCCCTTTTCATAATCTATTTTACTGGCCAGTAGTTAACAATTATTTCCCCAAGATTCTAAGTACTCTTCTAGTGTTCTGAAAATCTGCTCAAATAACAAAAAAAAAAAAGTATTGAGTCCTTTCAGAAAGCTTTTTCCAGGAAAGGATTTTATTTATTTTAATAGCTAAAGTGAAGTACAGCACAGTGAGTGTTCACTGGATGCAGCAAAGCACAGCTTGTTCACCTCTGACTCTTAACTGAGGGGGGTATCTTGACTTATGGGATAAGGAGAAGGAGAGAGACAGAGGGAGAGTAGAGAGAAGAGAAAGGATTCTGTTCTGGAGATACCTGTAATAAGAGGTTCACCCTTTATCCTGGATATCCTAGTAAGGGCACAGCCGGCAATAAAATACAAATTCTGAGTCTAAATATAATTCCACACCACTAGAAATGGCACAGGTGTGCTTCTCATTTTGTGCAGGTGAAGTTCCCCTAAAATTTAGAAGGCGAGAAAGACTCCTAGTTAGGCTCTAAAAACAAGTAGGAATTCTTATTAATGCCTGGTTGAATGCCTTGCTGAACAAAATGTAATCACAGAGTACATCATGAGCAATCAAATTAGAAAGGACCTTGTTCTCCTATCTGTTCCCCCATCTCTGGTGAAGTAATTGCTTCTTCAGAATGAAATGTTAATAATGGCCCTTTAGACTTGGATAGCAACTAAAATGTTCCATACAAAATAAAACCCTTCAGTCGCAGCATTCTATTAATTCAGCTGCTTGGAACAGCTCAAATTGAAGTCTCTGGTTTTATGTCACAAGGAAGACCTAAACTATATGTGATGATGGGATAATCTCAGAAAGTTGGCTGCACTTGTAATGCTTCTAATTTTAATCACACCAAGTTAAAATAAAGCTGATAAAATTAATTAAATCTAATAAAAATATTAAGAGGTAGGTA